TATGGGTTATGCAGGGTTTATATCATCAACCGTAGTTCTTGCGTCAAGGATTCACAGCACTGAGAGCTCAGGGTCAGGATTTTTCGGGCTGGTGCTATTCGATGTTTTGTTCTTGTTCATAGGTCTTGTGCCCTGTCCTCAGCCTGACTACGAAGTCTAGACCGGCTCATCTGATATAGGGGCCTAAATAATTCGCAACTCTATTTTGGTGGCTCCTCACTAAGATTTTTGTACAGTATATCCCCAAACCGTATTCTAGTTGAAACGCAAATTAACGCCCCTTATGTTACCTCCTGATGCCCACACCTCAACTCTTACATCCTGAACCCAGTCCATGGCCCAATACACCTGGACCCCAAGCCCTTGAGCCTCTAGGCCCCAAAATCCCTGAACCCTAGGCCTTACTAAGCTACCCATTGGCTCCATAGTAGCTCCTTCTTGGGAGTACCTTATAGGATCCGAAATAGAGGCCACAAGACGGAGCTATAATGGAGCCTATGGGTAGAGCCAAAAAGTCTTGAACCCTCGACCGACCTCCAAGCGCTTTCATCAACTCTGAAAGGGACGGGTGTGCCCACACGAGCAGGGCGGGTACAAGCAGACTTCAAGCTGGGGCAGCCGTAGCAGAGCATTTGGGATCCTGCATCTTCGGATCCCTGCTACTGTAGGGGCCTTAATAGTTTTCATACAAAAGAAGCCAGAAAGTTGGAACATCATTATCCTCGTGCCCCATGCTCCAACTTTCTGGGGTTTGCTGTACGGTTTTGGGGTTTCTTATACAATAAGTATAGCAAGGAGTCCCCAAAACCCTATTCTAATTATCAAGGCCCCTATAGTACTCCGGTTCCAGCCAGATGGAGACCTCTTCGTTGTCAGACTCCGTAGAAAAGAAGGTCACTTCTGACCGTCCCAAATGGGGGTTTCCGAAAATAGGGGACCCTAATATAGTACCCTAAATAGCAGGATCCTTCTTTTCAGGACCCCCCAAATGATTACTAAACCCTAAACCCTGAACCCTAAACTCTGAACCCTGTTAAATAGGTACCCCTAACTTTCGGAAACTCCCAAATCTTTCTGGGAAGGCAGCGGGGCTGCTCTGACAGCTCTGGAATACAGCTATCGCGAGCTTCTCCTGCGAATGGTTGTGTTTTAGGGTTTAGGGTTTAGGGTTTAGGGTTGTTGTTCTTCCGGCGTGCTGTCCTTGTCTGCTTCAGTTTGGGGTGCAGGTTTGGGTGTCCTTGAGCCGTAGGTTGCTCTTCAAGCACAGAGATGTCACCTGATTCGGCATTCGTGATTTATTAATCTTGATTTCTTTCAAGCTTGGGGTGCACGGGCTTCATCAGTAAAACTTTGGCTGTCAGTACCTGAAGATAGCCCTTTCGTTTTTTGGCACGACCTTCACCTGTGTGTTTTATGTGGGATCAGCACTCGGAGCCCTTAGAGTTCGAACCGCTACGGGGGCCTCTGTACCTCAGGAATTGTATTCCCTTGGGCAAGCCATTCAGCGCTTGCGGTGTACTGTAGTTAAAGGCTCACGGGACTTGGTAAGTCAGGAGAGGATAACCCTACTTAGGGCACTTATCAGCGCAATAATATTCCCATTTACTGCAAGTCTCTTGGGCCCTTGAGTACCCTAGAATCGCGCTCTGATGATGAGGCCTTATCCCTAGAGGGCTCAGGGATAGGGGCTCAGTATATACGAAATCCTAAAATTGGAATTCTCGTATCTCCGATAATATGATAAGGAGAATCTGCTGAACAGCCCCTATGTGCTTTCGGGTTTTGTGCTGCCTAAGCGACAGACCCACGCGCATCTAAACTCTACAACCTCCGGGTTCTCTTGACCTCTACACCCCCCAAGATTCCAAGATTCGGCAACAAGTTCGCACATCCCATCCTAAACCACCCATAGGCCCCATGGTAGTTTCTTTTTGTGGTTTGTATTAAGGAGCCTATGAGGTAATCCCCCAAAAGAACTACCATGGGGCCTATGGGCATAGACCACGGAGGACCATGGGACTTAGTAACTAAGGTTATTATTCGGATAACTATACTTATAAATACTTATAACCCCAATTAAGGTACTTATAACCATACTTACTAAGTCCCATGATCCTCCAAGTAGAGACCAGCTTCCCCACAAACCCTAAGCCCTGAACCCTAAACCCTAAACTCTGGGGCACTAGAGCCCCTAGGGCCCTAGATAGTGCACCTGGAGGGTTAGGGATAGACCAAGGAGGATCATGGGACTTAGTAAGTATGGTTATAAGTACCTTAATTGGGGTTATATGAACCTGTAACTAGACCAAGGAGGATCTTAGGGGGTTCTAGGGTCCCCTAAGGGTACATATAGGGTATAGAGTAGGTTTGTGAGGGTCCCAGGGTTAAGGGCCCATACTAGGGGCCCATGGGTTCAACCGAAGACCAAGGAGGATCTCTTGAACAAGTACCAGCAGTTCCTTTCGGTTGCCGGCCGAGAGAAGGCTGCGATGAAACACCTCATGGGGCAGTTTTCTAAGTTAGGGTTTAGGGTTTAGGGTTTATTAGAGAACTACCCCCATCAAGTCGGCAGTGAAGAGTTTTGTTTTGTGGCATCCATCGGTATTTTGTGGCATTTATGGGTGTTTTGTTGCATTTATGTGTGTTTTGTGGCATTTATGGGTGTTTTGTGGGTTTAGGGTT